TATATATATATATATATATATATATATATATATATATATATATATATATATATATATATATATATTCTTTTATTACCTAAAATATGCAAATATTTTTTCGCAGTAAAATTCTATGCAAGTAATATAAAAAAATAAGTGATTAAAGATCTGCTTGTGATAATGCAAGTATGCATTTTTTAACTGTATAAGTGCATATATTTGCATATATAAACTGTTTAAATGCGTATATATTTGCATATTTATACTTAAAAAATACGGAAAATCTTAGCATAACAGTATTCTTTTTTATTGCATTTTTTACTTTTTTGTTGCAATATTTAACAAACTTAGTACAAAGTATAATAAATTATTTTTATTTAATAATAATCTCTAAGCAATTTAATTTGTCTGATAATTTTTTTAATAATAATTTTAGTTTTTATTTATGTTAATATTGATAAGATTTATCTGACTTGCTAAATATTTGCAGTTAAACAAAAACTGCTGAATACAAAATATAAATAACTTTTTGAAAGGAATAGCGTCAGTCCAGAACATCTTCGACACATAAACTAATGAATGAAACAGCTCTAAAAATAGTTCTATATTATATTTGCAGGTTGATCATTTATTGTGTATTGTTTTTGTGACATAGTTGTTATAGATTTTTTACTAAAGTATAGGGGCAAAAGTTTTATCTGCAACCAGTCTTTGCACAACTTATGTTGAAGAATTGTAAAAGTGCACATTTTGGTGTGCAAAAATTGGTAAAAGTGCACATTTTGGTGTGCATTTTTACCAATTTTTGGTGTTAAATCTAACATTGAAATTTTCAAATAATTTTGCTTCATTTGAGACCCAACATGATAGACAAATTATATATATTTTTTATAATATTAGGAACTTGTTATGTTCCTTAGGGGTCTCAAAGGAATATAACAATTTCCAAGAGTCTTGAGGGAATCATCAAAATTTATATATATATATATATATATATATATATATATATATATATATATATATATATATATATATATATATATATATATATATATATATATATATATATATATAAATTTTGATGATTCTAAGTCAATAAAAAAACAACCATAATAGTTTTTCTGGTTCCTTATGATATCTGTATTAAAAATATATGATTTTTTTTTTTATGGGTACTCCTATGGTCGGTCCCAGCAGTCCGAAATTTTGAAAATTTCTACTTTTTGTAAATAATGAGGGGGGCTGGAACACTTACAAATATTTCAAAGGTATCTTTGAGGTTATTTTTGTAGCCTGATAAATCTTATTTAATATTATATGTTGTTTTATTGCACAAAATGAAATGAAATGATCAGCCCTACCCATTTAAAGACATGCTGTGTATATTTGGGAGGTGGGGGGGGAGTAAATTTTTTTTTACATTTGTATTTATTTTTTAGAGAAAAATTATTTTAAAGCTTTCAACCAAGATTTTTTTCTGTTGTCTGAAATTTTAGACAAAGTAAATTAGCTTGGTTATCTTCTTCGTTTCGGAAAGTTTCAATAAAGTCTTGACCAAGTTTAATTGTACGTTCTGCACTGTCATTTACAACAAGAAGACCAGTGATATAATTTTTAAATCTTATATAACCTGAACATGTTTCCCAGTTTGATGAACTGATTTTCAGCCATTCTGTCTCATGTAATGTCATTTTAAATAAATCAAAGAAAAGCCAGCTTTCAGGACCAATAAAATCTTCAATTCTTTTTGTTATTTTTTTTTCATTGTCAGTAAAAATTTCTGAACTTAGTTTTCCTATTTTATAACTGGTAAGCTTTGCTGTTTGAGCTAATTTAAGAGCCAATTTATGTAGCTAATCTACAGGTAAGCATTTATCAGCAAGACACATAACCACAAATCTTTCATTTAAATACCAATTGTGTTTTTTAAGTGACTTTAGTACGGCCTCTGCTGGTTTAAGACATAATTCAGAATATTGTATTATTTTATTAATGGCTTTTAGATCTAAAGAAGTTGCTATGCCATGGAACATAAAATAGTGCTGTAAATGAACCAATTTCATGAATCAGCGTTCCCTCTTGTAATGATATTATATCAGGACATAAGTTACTGAATTGTGGCTGTAGAATGTCGTATGTTAAATAATAAACGCCATGAGCCATAAACCTGACATGATGTGAAGTCATTGGAAATCTAAAGTGAAAATCTTTTACTTTGCCACCTAACCAAAGAACTGCTAACTGTATAAAATACTTGTAGTCATTTCTTGGAAATATATCATTATTGAGGCAATTTTGAAGGAATGTTAATGATTCAGAAGCCTAAAATAAAAAATAAAGAAAGTCTATTATTAAAACTTATAATCAAACAGATTAATCTAATTAGGACAATCAAACCAACCTGCTTTTCCAAAAAAGGTTTGTTTTTTTTTTCTGAGTCAAATCTCTTTAGGTTATCATAATTTATCTTCTTTTTAAGAATCGATTTCCAATTACCCTTTGGCCTTTCAAATAACTCAGTATTTGGTCCACTTGTTTTACCTCCAGTAAGAACACTTGAAAAGCACTAAAATATATTCATTTCAAATCACTTAACTAAATTTTAGTAATAAGGTTAATCGTTATTAAATTCATCGAGAAATATTAAATAAATAAATAAATATAAAAATATTTTATGACTTCTTTTCAATATTTACCTTTATATGTAATTCGTAGACATGATGACGACAAGCCATCCAAATCAAAGCTTTTCCTCTCCACTGCTCAATAAGAGTACAGACTCCTTTTAGCCAACCAGTATTTGTGACTGTGGTGTCAAAGGACAGACAATCAACATAGTCAAATAGCTCCCAGTCTTGTAAAGTTTTTTTGATTGCTTTCCCAAGAGACTTAGCAGTGCCATCTTTCACAATTAAAATATCCAAAAGTTGGGATTCTGAAAGATCTGGTGAACTGATTAGCGCAGCTAATCTTTCAACTTTTTCTTTGCCAAATTCTCTCAATTCTACCATAATTTTGGAGTCAAAATGCATGGTAAGACTTTTACCCTTACCCAATATAATAAAGTTGTCTTTAATTTTACAGGCAGTTGTACTTATACTTGATTTTTTCTGCCTCAAAATACTTCGTTTAGAAATAGAAAAATCATCTGTTGTTCCAGAACTGTTATTTATAAGATTAGCAAGAGCTGCACTCAGTGCAGTCGAACTTATTCCATATTGTGATGCTGTTGGAGCTAAATCTTTTCCTATATTTTTAGGAATTATAAGAGGAACCGCATGAGATTTTTTTAATTTTTATAGAAGACTGTAGATACTGTTCATCTTCGTCATTATCTAAAGTATTTATATTTTTTTATTGTGTCATCAAATTTCTCAGTAACCAACTCTTTCTGTTTTCTTATGGAATCTTTTATACTTTGATTTTTTTTTTTTTCATTTCTCTTTTTTTTTTATTTTTTAAAATATTTTGTGAAATTTTATCTTTACCCAACATTTTCTGAACACGCGCTCCTTTCTGGTCGTTAAGAAAATCTACATCCTCTCTTCTAGTTTTTAAATCTTTAGTTTTATCTTTCATAATAGTATGTTCACAATTGTTTTGACTTACATCGAATACTTCCTCTAGCATTCTTGAAAAAGTTTCTCTTTTTAAAACTAAATTTTTACTTAATTTTCTTCACCTCGTAAAGGACGCATGGTAAACATTTTTGGAGATAACCACCTATTTCAGCACATTGTGCAGTAAAGAAATCACCAAGTGGACATGAAGCTATACTAACTGATGAAATGTTTGGAAAATCAGCCCTTAGCATAAGATCTCTGTAATGGTAATATCGCAATACAGTTCTTTTAGTTGGCAATTGTGTGATAGGTATTGTTCCAATTCTTTTTCCAAGAAGAAAAACTTCACGATGAGATTTTTTACCATAACGATTGCTTGTTGACATTGTTTTTATTTACACTTAAATGAAAATTTTAAAAATTACGGATTTTTTTTTTTTCTGAAATCCCCCCCCCAACCCCCTAACTCCCAAATATACACATCATGTCTGGGTAGGGCTGACCATTTCATTTCATTTTGTGCAATAAAACAACATATAATATTAAATTAGATTTATCAGGCTACAAAAATAACCTTAATCTTGATATCTTTGAAATATTTGTAAGTAACCCAGCCCCCCTCATTATTTACAAAAAGTAAAAATTTTCAAAATTTTGGACTGCTGGGACCGACCATAGGAGTACCCATAAAAAAAAAATTATATATTTTTAGTACAGATATCAAAAAGGAACCAGAAAAACTATTATGGTTTTTTTTATTGACTTAGGTGTTTTATGCCCCACCTTAATATATATATAGGCGCGAATGTAAGAAGTGGCCATTGTGGCCATGGCCATATAGTTTAAAGCCAGATTGATTTATTAAAAAATTCATTTAATGTTTATCAAAAATCTTTTAGAACTTTTAGATTTTTTATTCAAAAATATTTTTGATTAAAATATTTTTGAATATATGTAATTGAAACAAATTTAAGCAATTTTAGGTCTTGAGTATCATTTTTCGCAGTTGATAAACTAGGCTTATTCGGAGAAATATGCGACAACGGGAAAGATGAGACAACTTTCTTTTATCCTTTCTGGAGATAGTAATCATTAGGGTGTGTCAATTTGAGACTTTTTTTGAAAAAAAAGTTTAATAAAATTTGGGGTATAACTAAAAGTTGCGAAATTTTACGGAGAATCTAAATCTGTTAAAATTTTTTAAATCAGAAAAATATTTACTTAGGTGATTAGCCTTTTTATGAAAGTATTAACGGTTTTTATTTCCTTTTAAACGGAACAACGACGTTACCGGACAATACTGTACGTAAAAAAAAACTTTTAAACAACAAAACAAATTTACATTAAATTTATAAAAAAATCATTTAACTTAATATGTATAAAGTATTTAAAAATTTTTTGTATTAAATGCGTAAAATAACTTTTTATTAAAAAAAAAAATTTACTCAAACGTAATTTTTTAATCTTAATAATGGTCAGTAAATTAATTTTTCATTGCCGCATTTAGTAAACAACTGCGAACTGCATATTGTTAAATATAAATTTAAGAACTTTTGATCAATTGTTTTCATTCTTAAAATATTAAAAAAAAAAAAAATTTATTACTAAACAATAATAAATTCTCTTTAAAAATTTTATTTAGGAGGAATAATGGCACCCAAAACCAGAATAAGTACTTGTACGCAAATTAGTGTTGCATTTGGTACAGGAAAACAATTTCTAGTTTCAGAATTACCAACCAACAGAGATGTTATAAGATATGCAATTTTATTAAGAGAGGGCTGCGAAGACAAAAAAAAGAAATTATCCTGTAAAAGAGATGGCCAAAGTTATCCTTCCAGCTTTATTACACCAGTGGTCGAGTGCAAATTTGGAATTTACATCGCCTAAATTAATTACTGATAAAACAATTTGTGATAAAATAGTGACTTTGTGGAACAACGCTTCAGCAATAGCTTGTCCAAGAAAAAAAGGAGCTAAATAAATAATAAAATTTAAAGAAAAACTTGATAAATTTTTTGATATACTAGTATGCAAATGTCTAATTGTAAAATGTGATGATTTTATTTGTTCTGATGATTGTGATAAAGAAGTTCATTGTAAATGCAAATGTATCAAAGAGTACAAAATACCATCTATTGACGTTAAGTTTATATATTTTCAAAGAATTAAAACTGGAACTGTTAGCAAGTTTCAAATTGGATTACCTGATAGTATTGAAACCAGGAAACAGTTCAAAAGATTACTTAGAAAAGATCGAGAAAAATATTTTGAGAATAAAGACAGCAATGTTATTTTAACTAAAAAACAAAAAATTGAGTCAGATCAGATAAACTTTCAAAAAGAAAGTGGTTTTAGTAATGAAATAGAATTAAATGATAACATTGATGATATTACTAATGTAGAATTACATTAGAATTAATGAGAAATCATTAGGAAAAAAAAGATGTTACAATACCTTAGAAATTTCACACATAGCTATGAATAGCGTAAGGTATAGTTCTTTTTAAATAAATTTGTTTTTTAGTAATGTATTTATCCTTATAAAGGTATATATATATATATATATATATATATATATATATATATATATATATATATATATATATATATAAAGTAAATCTATTTCTGTGTAAATTTTGCTCACATAGATATGGGGTATCTGCACGTGCTACAGCTGCAATTGCTACAGCAACACTAATTGATGCAGGATTAATAACATCTGATGATAAAAAGTTAATTATTGATCATAGTAAAGTTTCGAGAGCGCAAGAAAAAGTTATCTCTGATCTTAGTAAGGATTTTGACAAAATAGCAAAAAGTGGAGAAGTGAAATGCATATTTTTTGATGGGAGAATTGTTCAAACCAAGCAAATGATTGAACTTGATGACTCAAATGCAAAATTTCCAGTAACAGTGAAAGAAGAACATTACTCTGTTTGTATGGAACCTGGAGGAAAATATTTGTTTCACTTTACTCCTGAGAAAGCAACAAAAAGTGTTAAACATGCAGAGATTATAGCAAATAAAATTGTTGAATGGCTGACTGAGAGAGGTATTGACAAGTCTTTACTGGCTGTTGGTAGAGACTCTACAAATGTAAACACCGGTTGGGAGGGTGGAGTCATCAAACATATAGATATAAAATTAGGAAAAAAACTTGTTTGGCTTATATGTCAACTCCATACAAATGAGTTACCACTGAGACATCTTATAACCAATTTAGATGGTCAAACGAAATCCAACAATAAATGGTCTGGTGTTATTGGTTCCATGCTTGATCATGCTACAGATCTAGATATAAATCCAGTATTTGAAACTATTAAAATTGGCAATCCACTTATTTCTCTCGATGATAAAATAATAAATGACCTGGCTGCAGATCAATTTTATGGTTATAAAGTTGTTTGTGCCATTAGAAGTGGTATTTTACCACCAAAATTTCATTTATTACAAATTGGGCCTATTTCACATTCAAGATGGTTAACTACTGCTAACAGAATATGTAGAATATGGATCTCTAAACATGGAATTCAAGGTAAAGATTTAGAAAATTTAAGATCTATCACCGAGTACATTGTAGGTGTTTATTTTCCTTGTTGGTTTAAGATTAAAGTTGAACATTCTTGGATTGAAGGATCTTGCAGCAACTTAAATTTCAAAAAGAAGATGTCATTAAAATAGTATCACCCTCTGTTCAAAGATCAGCTTGGTTTTGTTTCAGTGAGTGTATACTACAAACATTGTTGTGTTCTAATACTGAAGAGGATAGAAGTGTAGCTATAAATAAGATAAAAGATATTAGAGGTACTGGAAATGAAGATCTACAAAAAGGTGATTTCTCTCCTAGACCAAGAAAAACGCTTGTTCTGAACTTTAATGCTGAAAAATTGGCAGATTTAATATTATGGGAGTCACCGGTTTATGAACCAGTCTTAACTACCTCTCTAACAACTTCTGAAATTAATGTTTTTATCAAATCCTATGCAGGTGCCGATTTGGCCATGTCATGAACAATCTGTTGAACTTTGCGTAAAGCAAGTTACAGAAGCTTCAAGTAGAGTGTACACTCATGAAAAGAGAGAAGGATTTGTCCGAACTCAAGAGGCGAGTAGTTAGTTAATGCCTAAAAATAATAGTAAGCAAGACCTTGAAAGTTTGACACAAATGTTTTTGTATTAAATTTATAATATTTATTGAAATAATTCGGGTTTTTTTTTTTAATATCTTGCTGTATTTCTAGCATCAATACCAATAAAATTATTATGCAATGTTAAGGCAAACTGTATTTAAAATACATTGAAAAATATTTTAATATATATAAATTAATCTCAATCTAATTTCAGTTTTAAATTAATATGCATATTAAAAATTAATTTCAAAGTCTAATTTTGAAATAAAAAATATTTCATTTATATTTTATACAAATTCTTAAAGAAAGTACTATAATATCTAAAATTAGTTTTAATCAACATATATATTTCAACTGATATTTATCAAACAAAGTAAAAAAAAAGCTTATTAATTTCCAAGTAAAAACCGGGTTTTTTTGAGAAACCAGGTCAAAATTTTATTGAAATATAAAAAGTTAAATCACCTAAGCAAAAAAATTTTTAATTCAATTTTTAAAAACATATTTGGATTCTCCGTCAAATTTTGCAACTTTTAGTAACTCCCCAATTTTTTTCTCGAAAAAAATCAAAAATCGACACACCTTAGTAATCATCATAGTCCTTCATTAAGATTAGGCATACAGTTTATGGTTGTACTTGCTAAGCTTAATACACCTGTTTTTTTGAATTTTTACTTTGTTTGATGACAAAATAACTGGTATTTTTGAAACTTTGTAAAGTCATTATTTTTTTCAACGCGTTTCTTAGTGAAGACATATTCAATGCAATTCATATTCTTGATATATATTTAGATGTACTAGTGTCGTGCTGCTAAAAAAAAGATTTCTTTATTATTCATACCCCAAAAAGAAAAGAAAACTTAATTTGATTTGTAAGGTAAAAATTTTATGTTTTTAACATACGGTCTTTGTGGGAAAGATGAGACAGTCCATTATTTAGTTGTTTTTATTTTTAGATACTCTGATATATACTCCAAAAAATCAAAAAAAATTTTGTAAACATTTTATGGTTTTTATGATGGTTAGAAATTACAAACGAAAAACAAATCGTGGAAATTGGGATGAAAGCAATATAAAATTAGCTATCCAAGCTGTCAAAAATAAAGAAATGACAAACGTAAAGCTGCTAATGAATATTCGGTTCCAAAAGATTCTCTCAACAGAAGAGTTAATAAATCAATAAAAACAATGCCTGATGATAAACCACACAAAATTGCTTGGTTCTTATAGAAAGGTGTTATCTGATGCCCAAGAGCACTGTATATAATCAAAATGGAGTTAGTCTTTTAAGGTCTATCAATTAATGAACTTCAAAGGGTGGTGTATGGCTATGTTGTACACAATAAACAGGCTTGGTCGGGTAGCGGGTGCGATCGCACTCGATAATTGACCACGGAAAATATATTTAGTTGCGAAAAACCGGCCAGTTTTTTTAGTCGTTTTGAGAACATTTCAAAAACAAAAAAAAAAAGGGCGCATTAAGATTAACTGGACCGATAAGAGTCAGTTAAAAAAAGAAAAATAACTTTTAACGCGAAAAAACTTTAAGCAAAATAAATACAATTAGAGCAAATATTTGTGAAGCGTCGCTCTTTTATAATTTTTTTTATAAAATTAAGTGATATTTTTTATATAAAGTAACAACTTACTATTAATGATTGTTTAATAAGGAAACAAATGTTCTTCGATTTATCAAAGAGTATATACAATTTCTATATATATACTTATGTCTTATTTCCAGTGCTGGATTGAGGAGGTGAGGAGGGGAGGGGGAATAGAAGTGCTATAGCCTCGGGACTCACAATGTTAGGGACCGCGAAATAGTCAACAATTCGGTATTTTTTTTAGTGATTTTTACGCTGTGTCACATAAAAAAGGTCGCCAAAATAATGCAGCCCCTGAAAAGTCCAACAAGAATCAACCAATAAAACTAACACTAGATGATTTATTTATAAATAAAAAAGTTTTTTCAATAACTATTTTATGCGTACTTTGAAAAGTTTTTTTGCGTAGTTTGAAAAGTTTAACACATTTGAAACAATTTTTCCTATTAAGATGGACAAATGAAATAATTAAATCATTTAGTTACTGTAGAAATTCAATTAGCTAAATAGAAATCAACTAAAAACATTAAATTACAATGTGGGGAGGAAGCGGAACTGCTTCACAATAACACTGATGATATTTAGTGAGTGGGCTTTACAACTTTAATAAGTATTTACAACAGAAAAAAATAACTTTAAATTTAAGTATAACGAGTTTGTAAGAATGGCTGAAGCAAAAATAATTGAAGTTAGTAAACCAATTTCTAAGAACTTAAAAACTTTTCTTTCTTGGGGGAAAGAATCAGTTATCGGGTATACTGAGGAAAATGGATTACTGAAAGAATCAGTTATCGGGTATACTGAGGAAAATGGATTAGTGGTTAAAATTATTTGTATTAACTTTGATGATTATTAATAATTTCATTAAAAACGCAGTTATTATTGAAAGTATTTTTGTTTACAAAATCAATCACACAAAATGATTTAAAAGATTACCTTTGAATAAAATACACATACATAAAATTACATGCATAATAATACATTATTATGCATGCATAATAATACATTTTATGCATAAATTTACATGCATAAAAATACATACACAAAAATACATTACTTATATAAAAAATACATCCCTTATATAAAAAAAAAGAATATACTAATACAATCTGTAATATATTTACAAAACGTTGATAAGTTAAAAAAGATAAATTTAAAACATTTATTTTTGTAAACAAAAGATGTTAGTTTAAAACATTTATAGCTTTGTAGATGTGGCTCCGAGAATTAAAATAATAGTTCCTTTGATAGTATATTCTTAAAACATATTCTTAAAACAATTTATGCTAGAAATCTCAACGAAAACTTAACAAAACTCAATTATTACAATTTTTTAAAATATTTCAACAAAAAACTCTAGAAATTTCGCTTTGTATTTTTTGAACCAATAGAATTAGTTGTTCCTAGATTTGGCGTTTTTTTTTTTGTGTTTGCAAATATTCTTTTTTTATTTTTCTGCACAAAGATGTTTGGGAGTATTCGAGTTTATTTATGTTTCCATGTATGTCCGTAAAAAAAAATATTTTAAAAATTACGATAAAATAATGAACTTAATTAAGGAAACCTACATAAATTTAAATGTTCTCAAAACGACTAAAAAATCTGGCCGGTTTTTCGCAACTAAATATTATTTCCGTGGTCAGTTATCGAGTGCAATCGCACCCGCTTCCCGACCAAGCCTGAATAAAATAAACCATCCATTTAATACTGAAAAGAAACTTGCAGGTCGAGATTTTATAGTTGGATTTTTGAAACGACAACCTTTTTTGTCTATTCGAAAACCTGAGGCAGTATCCATAAATCGAGTTTTTGGTTTAAATAAGGCTGCTGTTCAAAGATATTTTGACAATCTGGAAAAACTTATTAACGAAAACCAATTTGAAGCAAATCGCATCTACAACTGTGATGAATCTGGATTAACATGTGTTCACAAGCCTTTAAAAGTAATAGCTCATAAAGGTAATAAGCGAGAAGTTGCAAATTTTTTTATTTGCTTTAGTGAAAAACCAAATTATTATTTGTGTGTCTGTATTTATTTTTATTTTGTATTGTCTATATTTTATAATTGTATTTTTACAGGCCAATGTGTTGTATCTTCAACAACTGTTATACTAGCTTTTAATTGTGTGGGACACTACATACTTCCTATAATTATTTTTAAAAGAAAACGGGTGCTAGATTCATTGATTGATGATGCACCACCAGGAACAATTGGACGCTGTTCTAAAAGTGGTTGGGTAGATACAAATTTGTTTATGGATTTTATAAGACACTTTGTAATACATGGAAATTGTAGCACTACAAATAAGTGTTTGTTAATTCTTGATGGTCACAAATTACACACCAAAAATCTTGATCTTCTCAATTATGCTAGCATAAATAGATTGCATATTTTATCACTACCACCACATACATCCCATAAGCTCCAACCAATTTTTTTTTTATTTTTTTTTTTTTATTTTTATTCACCTCCTCAAGGCCGAGAAGGCAACTACAGACGAGGAGGCTACTTATTTGTGGCTATAACCCTCTCTCAACTCTATAACTCCGAAACACGAACCTTGACGAAGAAGGCCGCTGCGCGGAGAAACGAGATGAGCGCGGTACTACCAGGGACGTAGTGGGGAACGAACTCGGAACCACTCGTTTATGAAGCGAGCGCTCTACCACTACACCACTACCGCACTTGATCGAACTTTGTTCAAATCTTTGAAAAGTGCTTATAACTTAGTATGCACAACATGGACGAGAAAGCACACAGGAAGAAGAATTACAGTTGATAAACTTTCAGGACTATTTTGTCAAGCTTTCGTGAAAGCAGCTACAGTGGAAAATGCTATTTCTGGATTTCGAGTATCAGGCATCAACCCTTTTAATCGAAAAATCCTTCCTGAGTCAGATTATTTTGAAAATCCATGTTTAAAAGATAGTAATACAAACATAATATTAAATGAAATAGCAGATATAAATCCTGAACAATCATCTACAACTAATTCTTTAATTGGGCCGAACCAAAATTCAAATGTTCAAACATCCATTGCTAGTTTTTCAGTTAATGAAATAAATGCCTCGTTGTCAATTTCAAACTCTCAACAGCTTTCTTTTACTGATATATTATCGATTCCAGCTATTGAAGTAAAGACAACAAAAAGAAAGGGAGAAAAGTCAGAAATTTTGACTAGCACATCATATAAAAAAACTTTGTAGGAGGGGTTGGAAAACAAAAAAAAAGTTAAATACAACAAAAAAAGACCATCAGAAAAAAAGATTAAACTAAAAAAAGATGATAAAATTAAATATGGAGAAAACCAAAAAATATCAGAGTCTAGCCAGAAATGTGTTCAATGCTTTAGGTGTAAATTATGGTACCATGAAGTTTATTTTGTTAAGTTAGGGACAAATTTTTTGTGTAAACTGTATGTGTGCCATGATTATATTTAAACATTCTATGATCCATTAATTTATGTCTTATAGTTGAGTATAACT